CGAGATTATTCTAATATAGAAGTAGAGTCCAAATACGACAGGGTGATTTTTCTGTTATACGGGGTTCGATGGGCGCTGGTGGGAGAATACCCATAAAATATGAGTTACATTTACTCAGAATCAACCCCGGAATATGGATAAATAGTTGTGAAAATCGAGAAGCCTTTAAGCTGGCCACTACATGGACCTGGCTTGCACTTCCGATTCTACACCAGATCATTTACACACGTTAGCAGACACGCCCAATACGTCGTCATCATAATCGACAGCAAACGACAATTACACGCCCAATACGTCGTCATCATAATCGACAGCATAACGTCAGTGTTCAATACTGATGATTTGCTGCCGTGCCCCAATATGTAACTTCTTTTGTTATGATTGGTCTCTCGGACAACCAATCTATATCATCATCACCATGGACAGCATGGAATCAGTGCCCAACACTGGTGCTTCGTTGCTGTACAACGAACAGAATAAAGGTGGATAGTGAAGATATTTAGTGCTAGGTTATTACAGTCATTCCAAGGCACCTATACCTCCAGACACTCATTCAGTCAATCTGGATAGAAACTGACAACGAGAAGGCCATTGGCGTCGATTAGCAGCCATATTTTGCAGCGTTTCCAACCAGGTGCGGTGGGGCTCATGCAGTTTCAATCTTGGTAAGCAATTAGCATAGACAGAGCCAAAATGTTTCATAATCTCTTTCACACCCTTCTACCAGGTCAGTGAGTGGCCACCCCTCTGCTTCCACCACTCTGAATTTGGCATGAAAAACGGTACTTTCCTGGGCAAACGATAACTTGACATGCGCAATACCTGGCCTCACCGAAATAGCTTCTGGTGCTGGACACATTATTTAATGGGAGTCCTCGTTGCACAACCGAAAACGCGCTTTCTGAATGCCTCTTCAAAGATTCTATTACAACAGCCCACGTGAACCATGCTTATGAGACAACGGTTGCTGGATATCTGAAGAATTCTCGCTTTAGTTGTTCGAACGGACCAAGTCTCAACCATACAATAGAGTAGCCCGTACTCTACTCCGAAACACACGTCTTTTGAGATTTATCAATATACCGCTTTAAAGCCAGCTTGACCCGGACCTTGCGGATTTATGCATTGACTCATGTCACTACAATCAGAACTAATACAACTTCCAGGATACGTGAAATGCTACACAGCTTTGAGTGCCTCTCCCTAGATTGTAAGTGGCTGCATGTGCAGAAGCATGACCTTATACTTTGTGAGTACAAGGAGCATACCAAAAAACAAGATGATTTTGGCCAGTTTATCCAAAAACACTTTCACCTTCTCTTCTTCGGTGACGAAAACGATGTCGTCTGCATATTTCAGATCGACAGTGTTTTAATCACAAGATATTTGAACACTGGAGTTTTGGAGACCTTCCAGCGTTCACTTCATTAGCTTATTTATAACGAAATTAAATAGGAATGGAGATAGCTGGCAACACTGACAGACACCACTTTATGTATGAAAGCTTTCAGAGAGCTCTGGTTATACACTTACGCGCGAAAAAGTCTGAGAACACAAATAAATTCTTATGTTTCGAAACTTCAGGGACATTCCTTGATGCGCAAGCGTGTCAAGGAAGACAGACTGGTCAACCGAATCGAATGCGGCTTGAAAACCCAGCACTACTAAAATTCTGGGTTTTTTGTACGTATGGCGTTGCTTTAGCACCTGACAGAGTGTGAAGACGTGGTCGACACAATCCCTAACAGGTTTGATGCTCTTGAATCAGTACTTCGGAAGCTACCATGAGGTGACAAAGCCTGGTTTCAACAGGGATTAAGCTCATCTACTGTGGCTCTCATATTTTCTTTGAGTTTCTTTTGTGAAAATGGGCACCATCACCGACTTTCTCCAGTTGTGTGGGACGGCTCCCTACATCCCAATTCTGACAAACAGATCAGACAAGCGCTGACTGATGATTTCACCCCCGCCTTTGAACAATGCGGGTGGCAGACCATCTGACTCAAAAGCTCGGTAGAGCTTGAGAAAACATATGCAGTCATAAACCCCCGAAGTCGTAAGGAATTCAACGTTTACTGTCCAGGGTTTTATGTCACCCGTGGCCTCCAGATAAGTGGCAGCTGGTGGCTACGGAAACTGTTTTTCCAAGTATTTAGCCCACCAGTTCAAGGTGGTCGCTCATTTCTGATCCTTGATGGCTTCCGGGGACCGTTCGAATGGATCAGCCAAAATAATCTTCCAGCAATAATGAGTTTATGGGCATCTTCCATTTTCTTGGCTCTCTCTTTCCACTAGACCGCATCTTTGGTTCGCACGCTCATTTTCACTTGATGTCCGATAATTAGTTGGTTAAGTTATGCTTGGGACCGGCTATGGTATTTCTTTGAGATTTAAGAAGTGCTAATTTTTGGTCTGATATCCAGTGCCTGGTAGCGCCGTGTCACAAGCAAAACTCTAAAAACTGTATGAGGGGTTGGCCATTTTGTCCCGCTATGAGTTCACATGTGATGGTGGAGCGTTTGGAAGACTCTAGGAGGCGACTCTGGCAATTTGGTCCAACATCCGGATCTGCCAGTCTTCCAGTTACCAAGCGATTTTTCCGCACTTTAAGTGGTCATGAAAAAAGAAGAGAAAAGCGAATTCGGACGAGTGCTTGGTTGGAATCTACAAATGTGTACCAAAATGACAATCAATTACTGATCCACGTCATCGGTAACTGATGACAATGTGATCAATTTTAGTTCATGGCCGACATGTCAGTGGAAGACACCAAGTGTCCAAACGAATCTGGCTGTTTTGGAAGTCGGTGTAGCATACAAACAGCCTGTGGTCTGTACAAAGCTGAAGCAGTCGTTCATAATTTTCTGGAGGTACTGATTCCAGTCCGTGTTGACTAACTGACTGAGTCTCAGATGTGCTAAGCCTGCGCACTTGTGCATTCATATCTCCGGTAACCTCGACGATATCTGAAATTTTAGCTCACCGTATCTCAACTTTCAGGGCTTCATAAAACTTTTCCTTGATGGTATCAGACAAATGGATACAAAAAACAAATTTTGTAGGCTGTCTTATCTGACTGACCGAAAGCAGCGTTCGTGTACCATCATGAATGGTTCAAATCAAAATCCCAACAGAGAATAGGAACATGAGCTTTTTGATGCTCCATGATCTCTATTTCAGTAGTGTTCTGCGGTCTACCCATCCCTCTCCGGTGAGGTTTTTGAACCCTGACGTCACACTTGTTAATCGATATCTATTTAGATAGCCTTTGTTGGTATTCTACAAAAAGTTCTTCTGGTGACATTTTTTCTTAGGGGGACAAGACCTACCTTCATCAGTCAGTCATAATAGCAACAAAAGCGGGTTGACATGGTTTCTCAATGGTGTGGTATTAACGGCTAGGTTTTGAGACCCATCGGTTTTCCGTTTTGCTGGATTTGTGTAGATCATGTTCCACAGTTGCGACTGTTTAAACTGATTAGAGAGTGGTACGTGTGAGCTATTAGCGGCGCTTCGTGCAAATTTTCATCCGCCACATGGATGGAGCTAGCTTTTGCGGAGGTCATTTCAGCTGTTTTCCAGAGTCGTTGTCTTATTGGCAGTATATGTGATGAACGTGAATCGGTATCACATCAATTGTTTTGTGCAGTATAGGTATGTAAAATGTCAGATTTGACGATTGGGTATATTTGGCTTCAAAATAGCTATAGAAACATAAAAGGAAGTGAAGGTGCTGTCCAAGAATGACAAGATCAGGACTGCTCATGTTTCCTTGCAAGGATGAAAGAGAGATATAGTAGGTCTAAACGCAAATCGACTCAGTTCTTTGGATAGACCTTCGGTTAAAACTTCGATTTCTAACTACTTATAAACTGCAAGCAACCTGCTCAGAGAAGTCTACCAAGAGCACGAGCCTTCCAAATGGCTGTCAGCACTATTTGACCGAAGGAATATCAATTAATCACACTGTGCGTTCTCAGTAGTATCCAAAAAGTATAATATTCAACATAAATTGCTTACACGAACACAAAATATCAGTTGGGAAAACAAAAAAATTTAGAGATTGGCCACTCACCGCACAAAAATCACGTTACGCTGTGTGTACCGATGAAACATCTCGAACGTATTCAACGTAGCTCACTTTAGAGTCTGTGGGGAACTTATTTTGGTTCCTGACTTCCTGAATCTGTATATTTAATTTGACATTAAGTGACCATTTAACGAATTAGGGTGTAACTCGCGCCTACTTCCGCCCCCCACCCAGGCTCAGATGAGTCGTTCTCCCTAACAAAGCAAATAAGAACATCACAATTGCCAAAGCTGGTTTACTACACAACACTGAAGTGTTGAGGTCAAATACAGACCCACCCAACTGCGGAGTGATGTCTCCTCGTAACCACTTTCTATTAAAAAACTTCCACGCCCTATTGTGAAAACAGTTTCATACCATGGGGGCTTTCAAAGTATGATTGCTGTCAGCACATATATAAGTTGTCTCCTAAGGCTAAGAGATGGATTTGCCCATTCCAGGAAACCGCGGCCTCACTCCTTGCCTACTTTTTTGGAGCATTCGCTGATAACTGTTCCTGATCTCCGCTTTCAACATTTGGGAGAATACTTCCTCCCATAACTGACCCTGTGTCAATGGTTGTTAGCTCAACGGAAGATCCCTGCTTGCTTGTCTACAATGATCACCTATAGTACCGAAATCAAGACAAACTCAATTACACCTGTCATCTTACAAATCGAGAGCACAGAATACAGTTCTCATTGATCAGCGAGCTTGTTTAATTGGTAGTCTTTGATTTTCCTTTTTTGGTGAAACCACACTGCAAATATTTGCCTAAATGGTGTGCTTCTGTTTCAGAAACCACTTCACGAGTAAAGTTTTGTGGCACAACTTCCGTATTTGATTTAATTAATTACTAAAATGTTAAAAGACCACTTTTCTCCTGAGGATGGAGTAAGTGTTCGATTTATGTCGAATTACTTTACTACAGGACATACGGTTAATTCGTCTGAAGGAGATCAACGATCGGGTGCTGTTGGAGAAACAGATCAAACAACGGCAGTTTCTTCGGAAGGAGCAAAAGCGAGCAAGGTTGTTTAATCATATCGTGGCAGAAATCAGTGCGGAATGTCTAGAACAGGTTTGTTTCATTTTAGTCAATCACAGGATGCTAAAGTTCCCACCTAGTCCAAATAGGCAGCGGGACCGAAATGATACAGGACAAGATGAAACACGATCTGGAGAGCAAAATGTGATGATAAACCCTTCATATGAGAGTAATTACTGCTGTTTGTTCCGTTATCTTCTAGGCGACGGAATTCAGGGTAGAACTTTGCTACCTGATTCAATATCATTGGTTGAGGCTACAGAGGTAATCCACCATTTTTGAACTACTCTTATTATGTTCTTACAACCTCAAATGAATCTTTCCCTACCCAGCGCTTGTCGTCAATCATAATGTGGTAGGGCTTCCTATATATATGAACACACTCACGGCAATCTAAGGCTGTATACACGCACTTATAAAATCCATAGACCGACCACCGCTTCTGTTCAGCTGATCTGTTCGGGTTGAAACAATGGACTCCGGTCTATTCTGCGCCCATGGAGCATCTTGACTCAGACGTTTAGGCTTTTTTCTGCCGGTTCAGTTGAAGTTGTTGTCAGGAACAGACTGTGACGTCAGCTTAGGGTCATATTTCTGGTCTTTCTCGGGACGTCTCACAATAATATCTGGGTAATACAACGTTAATAAAATTTGTCCTGCCGAACAATGTGAATTATATGGATGATCTGACTTCGTTCCTTGGTTGGGCCTCACCTGATGAATAATGAAAAACTGAAATTTGTGTGAACCTGAATTTATTACCGAAGCTCTTTTGTGAAAGGCTATCAGTGCTTCCCTTGCTAGATTAGTTGCAAACAGAACGGGGTTTCACGAACTATAGTCAGTAGAAAGTGGACTACTCTTTGACCCAGCCCTTGAAAGAAACAGCAATTTTGTGACATTTTCGTTACTGTTCCACGTATTTTTTTTATTATGGCTCTAGGAGGAACTGGTACCGCATCCAGACTACACATGTCCGCCTTGCTCTCCTCTACCACTTTCTTCCGATGCCACCGGTCGGTCGACCATTTCCACCGGCTTCACGAGACGTTTCGATGAAGAGAAGGTAGCCAATTCAGCCCGGAGCTTACAATTGTATAGTTATCCCCACTTTGTGGCAAACGCCAGAAAGGTTGCTACAGCAAAGACAGAACGTGAGACCAATCGAGTGAGACCCCAAATCGGACGTCGTGCGTTTGCGCGACTCGAACGCCAACGTGTGCGTGCAAAATGCCAGATTTTGGAGGACACCCTAATATCTGAAAGAATAAAGGGTATGGTGTTGTAGCATGTTTTCCAAGTGTGGTCGTATTTCCCATATTTTCTAAGGGCAAGGAATTAAGCGCCAGAATAAAAGGATGATTTGGTTGGTTTAAATGGTTCCCATTCGAATTGAACTTTTTGTTTAGTTGTTTGAAGCTCTCCAGACAAGGGTAAGAGCGTGAAAGTCATCGAGGATGTTGAAGCTTTGCTTGCCCATAATCCGGCTTACCTCACAGCTAGGGACAAAGAAATCTGGAGTTATCTCTCGTAGGCCATCCGGTGCTGGAGAAAACGGATTAAACTCTAGGTATTTATTGCCAACGATCGCTAAGCGTGGGCAACTGGAATGGGTGACCTTCGTGTAGGAGCCAGTCGCAGGTTAGGCAAAACACTGGACCTAATCACTGTTCCATATCAACCACAATAACCAGTGGAAATTGAGCGTTTGGATTTCAAAACTATACAACTGGGAGGATATTCGAAGCATAGTCCCTCTGAGACTTAACGTTTTATGTGAACCACAAGCGTATTTCTAATGGCAGGGCAATTCCAAGGAAGCTCGCACTTGTCTCAAATGCATAGTTAGTACGTAAGAGATGGCCCATCAATTTTGTTTAATGATCAAAATTTGATGAGTCTCAAATTCAAACTGAAATTAATTCATAATAGTTTTTTTAACACAGCGCAGCCCATGTATGACTAAGAACCAATTAGGAATGTTTTTGAAACCGTTCATTTGGACAGCTTTAATACTTCGGGATTCCTATTTCAGAAAGCGCCGAGAAGGACTTTCTTTCAAAAATAGAACAAACAGTGAACTCGAGTGAACCGGATCATGAATTTCTGTCTAAGTCTCCGTCAGAGAGCGAACCCGAATGCAGCACTGTTGCCCGATTGTCAACAGTGACTTGCCTTCACAATGAAGAAGAGGATCCACCCACCCCCGAAACGGACGAATCAAGGTAAATTTCGGACGTTTCCCGCTTTCCTCCTAATAATATCTCCTACGTGTGGATTATTTCCAGATTCGAACATGCTCAAGCTGATATTTCAACAAGGGACCTTGTTTCCATCAAGGTGTCTGTTACTTCAACTCAAAATAGGGCCATGCCGAATTTATCTCTTTCAAAGGAATTCCACTGACGATCTGAGATGGGCGAGCATTGTAGAATAAATCTCTCAGATCTGAATAAACCAAGCCGCAGGGATATCAAAATCCACGAAGATAGATTATGATGGAAACATACTTGACATAAGCGTGTCTGATCACATTAAGAACATCGCGAATGTGGGAAAAGTGTCCAGCTTTTAACTTTGCACTAATGTTTGAATTCAGTGATGGAATCATTCTAAATCAAAAATGTCACCGCCTTGAGTTGAACGTAAAAAAACAAGTTAGAATAATAGAGACCCGTTCGATGGTTATTCACTTCCTAGTGACGTGGTGTCCATCAAACTTAGTGAGTTAAATTTTCTAAGTTTACTTTGTCCTGGTAACAAACTACTCCCCCATTTGAGCTTAAAGTACTCTACCTCCATACAGTAGCACGTGAATTGGATTGAAAGTATCATTCTACGGGTGAAAGGAAGAAGGCCTTCGCTTCGGAGTTATTTATTAGAAAATGCCAACTGACTGGTTTCAGTCTATTGGACAGGGAAGCATCTTATTTACAAGAACTGAACGTCCATCTTCTCCTGAACTCGTCTTCTTGAACTTTCCTGGGGATTCATTGACTTCAATCATTCATTGCTCAAATCCAAGCAAATGTTACAAAGTGACTCCACAAACTGCACAACAGATTCCCCCTTTTCAAGAGACGCAAAGCGAAATTCCAAGAACAACGCAACTCGCTCGCATGCCTCCCCATCAGTAGTATCACCGTTACACGCGTTGGTGACAATTCCAACCACAACTTTGACCTCATTAAGCTCGTTCAATAAAGTTATATGATTTGAGTTCTAATGAAAAAGAACGAACCGGGATAGGAGGATTTATTTTCAGTTAGCTGCTAAAGGTGACTCACATTATGCGTTAAACACCGACGTAGTCTTTCTAAGGCTATCCCAAGGAACTTGTTACCTCTTACTGAGAGGGTTTAGGTTGCGTGTCCTTGTAAGAATGCTATCAGAGGCTGCTGGTAGCAAAGGAGAAACTTCAAGAAAGGGTGAAACAAAGTCCAACTTCCAGACGATGGGTGATTCTAGCAAACCGGCGGACTGCTCCAGAACCAGACGTAATCGACTTCTGTCTTGTCGTTTTTGGATGATAGCCTTAGCAATCCTGCAGAGCCTAATATTTTCCTCACATTACCAACAATACGTGCACTCCATAGTTCTGACGGTTTTTAAATTGTTTTTTTTTTCGAAAATGAGCTTTCACGGTCTTACACATGACGGGGCACACTAATCCTAATGTTGTTGAAAACTCTTCGGCAGTCCACCACCTGTTTCGTCCTTCTTGAGGTCCATCGAGAAGGCGCAGTCTCCGGGTTCCCATAAACCTTATTTTGTGGTATGTGGTTGACGAACAGCACTTATTTGCAAGTTAAGTGGGTGGGAGAGTGAAATGGGTCTCGTTTCTCTTTTCAACTGAACATACTGCACAAAGCAGTCTCATTTTTCAGTTAGCACGACATATGAGATATTGCACTGTTTTCTCGATGGGACATTCCAATTATCATGTTGTCAAGGAACTCATCAACAAGGAAAACCATCATACCAATCAAAAAATGGGACAGCTTTTGTGCAGAACGCACGGTTGAAGAATAGCATGAGTGACAGTCTCAGCTATCGCTCACTTCAGTGTCATCTTAGTTTCATCTTAATTTCTAATAGGGGTAAAGTTATACCTCAAAATTTTATGGCCTTGTTTCAGCGTGGCTCAATCAAATCAAATCCGTTAAGCGAGCATCTGTAGGCGTGTTCGTGTAAGTGTTTACCTTAAATATGGAAACAAAAATGGTGGTCCCGATGGGTCTCCTTGTAAGGAGTTATTACTGTATAAAACCTCCCTTCACATTCTAATTTATCTCGTAACATAGATGCGCGCAGAACTTCCGATCCTGGTCTATTTGGTGTCAAGAATAAATTGAAGGCTCCGTTAACAGCTCTTTTCTCTACCGCTCATGTTTTTTATTCCCTAGCATTTTGAACGAGGAAGTCCTAAAAATGTGGCAGGATCTGATGCGACAGATGAAAATCCCCCTCCCAACACTTTGTCTCTGTTCTCGATACATCCGCTCGACTGCAACAATCCCACCTTGGCTTAGCTGTGCCGATAATTGCCCCTACTTCCACAGGCCCGAAGGTTGGTTGCCTATTACTTCTGCTCTTTATCATGCCCTGCGGAAATCCAGTACGATTAAGTAATTCAAAAATAAAGTGTACTCTAGTTGCTCCATCTTTTGTTCGACAGCGAGAGGTCCGTTCTAATGACAACCCGACGAACTGTGCACAACCGATTCTCCCAGTATCGCTGTCTTCGGCAGATTAACTTGTGCTTTTAGCTTCACAGTATCACATCCGAAAATCAATTATTTTCAGTCAAAGGTACGATCTCCACTTGTTTTGTGGACAGTATTCAGTTTTGACACCGTTGCGCACTGCTTGTCTGTAACTGTGCGCGTCAATGACGAGCTTCGATGGGTCACATTATGAATACTGTTCCACTCACAGCCTTGCTGGTGAAGACGCGGTCAACAACAACAACGATACAACTTCAGCCAGCCATTAATCTATTACATCTGATAGTTATCCCAGAAGACTCCATCAATAAAACTGAACAAACAGCCTTCCAGTTTTCGCAGACCGGAGGGCAGGCCCGATGATGAGGTGGTGACACATCATCACTAGCAACGGTACCATGTCGTCTTGGGTTTGCGCTAGTTGTAACGAGAGTTACGTGATCATCACTCGGTAAAACATGATGATTCCGCAGAACCTATCCTATCAGCGGTGAAATTCCCCACGTGTTGCCCTGTCGCCTGTTTTTGTGCACCTTTTATTAATGATGGCTTGAGATTGAAGCAGAGGTTTGTTTGTGAACTGTGTCTGTGTCTGCTTAGTGTTTAATTCAACCAACTTGGCTTATAAGCTCTAGGTGCTGCTTCAGCGTTCACAATTTATTAGGTATTTTAATCCGGAACACTTCATTACGGGTATTCTTAGGCCAACTGGGCTACACCACGAAGCAATCGGTGATCAAATAGTTGAAGAACGGAATCGCAGTCTCATACAGAAACGAATGCCAGTCTAGCAGATGCAGTCGAGATAGGGTCCTTTAGCTTGGGCGTGACGCCAAAGATTGGATATGGTCGTTGGTTTGTTCGCTGAGGTGGGCAGTTTGATTGCAAACATTTCATCACCGATCAAGATGACGTCATCAGCGCGTTTCTAGGGCGCGTAGTGTAACGTCGCAGTGGGTTGGTGGCACGACCGCTGACCCATCGCTACCTGAGCTACCAACATTCTCCTCTTTAGTGAAGATTGAATATTTTGGTGCATAACACGAGCACCCCAATATTTGTGCACTAATTTTAATTATCACAGCACAAGTTTGGCTAGCACATCTGTCGACATGCGTGAGCCGTCGGCAACTCCAAGCCTCATACTCCGAGGTGCAGCAGAAGCAGCCCGTATAGAGATCGATAATTTATACTGATTTTCTATAATACATCTTCATCCAACCAACTGCCAAGAGTAGATGCATTACTCAGCAATCCAGGGGCCATATGTATTAGCCGAGGCTATAGGAAGAGCATCAAAACTAGTGTGTTTTATTGCCCCCCAAGAATGTCATACGCGGGATATGACATGCATCCAGTGACATTTATTTTTCGTAAATACCTCCGGCATCAGGAACTGTCAGAGAGAATGAACTTCGGAATATAAAACAACATCACCTGTCCTCTATGACTGTTGATCGTAGACTCATATTCCATTCTTTGAAAGAATCCTTCAGATATCGCAGATTTCTTATTGCTCTGGTTTTTACGGTGTTTCTAAATGATACACTTCTTCAAGGCAATCTGTTGAGTGACCAAGCCCATAAAAAATGGTAGCTCACTGACTGACTTATCTCCTTTTAAATTTTATTTATAGCTTACCTGAAGGCACTGTTGGACTATATTCACTCAATGGACTAAGGAATTTCGGGAAGATTTTGACGTCCCATGGAATGATTGGTTTTGAGACCGGTCTCTTTTCTCGCAAACTATGGTCAATCTCACAGAATGCGGTTTTCGAACAAGTAGGAGATTATTTCGTTTTTTGCAGACTTCAGTGTAAACTTGAATTCAGTCAAGCGTATTTTATCAGAAGAAAATATTCAGTGGGTTGCGCATTCTTCCAAGTTTTTAGTGCAAGATAACACTGTAAAATTGTCGTTGTACTGTGCGTCCAGATGTTCATTCTTCCGGTTATATAAATGATGCGCTTCCCTAAACCTGTCTTTTCTATATCTTGTTGGTAGAATGTACCACTTCACACGGAACGAACATATGTGATCCTTAGGTATTTTAAAGCGTCGGAAGTTATCTTGGTAAGTTTCCACAGAGTCCAAACTTCCGATCCAAAATGAGCACACCAACTAATCTCATTATTTGGTCATTTATTATCGACAGCTCAAGAGCAATTTTCAACACAGATTCTGCGGTACCGTGTTTCACTTTGAAAACCTATTAAAAGAGGGCAGGAAAAATACTTGGTGCTTGCTAGCTAGCTAGTATAAGCATTCCGTGGTGCCTACACTTTCTGATATGCATGCATCTATTTCAGTTTGCTTAACCATCATATTCAGATTAATGGTTTGGAGACCTGAAACAGATGGATCAACTCAAATGTCTTCCGTGTTTTGGCTCACATAAACTAACTAGAAGCGACCAGATGCAGTTCTGGTTTAAATGCGTGGCCAGCATCCAGTAAATACGAGAACCAGCCGGCGTCGGTCACCCACGCAATGTGCTTTTTAATTTCATATGTCACCGCTCCATTTGCGACAGCATTCTTCGTTTCTTGAGAACCAAAACAGTTGAACAGCAGTTAAACTAAACCATTTTGGAATTGGTCATGGGATAAGACATCGTAACAGAAAAGACTGTTGTGTCTTGTTGGTAAAAGATGTTCCTCGGGACAGTAGCCTTCTGTGGCTCACTTGTACACAGGCCGAACCAGAGGAAATCTAACCATAAACAGCAATGCTGGTGTGTTAGTAGTAATTTGAGCAACTGGTCTACATGGCGGGATTCGTATATTTAGTCATTTCTATTAACAAATATCAATATTGGACGGCCCTGTGATCATAATGTTGTATGGTTTTTCCGTAGCTACAAATATACGGAATCAAGACCAGTCAGACATGTGTGATTTAACTACGGTTCCTGGGGGTGCTTGCTTCCAACTTATTCACGGCGTGGCCCGTGAGATGTGTTTAGCTGTGATTATTCGACAGATTACTCGTAATCGTCGCATAACTAGGTCTGGTTCCAATCAACCTCCAAGCCATTCAGTCCATATGTTGTTGAAACAGATCATCTCGTTCTGAGTAGCTTGGGGAATACAGTTTCGAAGCCTTTATAGCATTCAATTGCCACACAATGGTCTTATCAAGTTTAGCGTCTCAATTGTGGGTATTGACAGAGTTTCGTAAAACGTTTATTTACCATCCAACATTCAAACAGGACGTGGATGAGAAGCCAGACCTTCAGCACAAATTTCATTTGATTTTAGCTGTGATTATTCGACAGATTACTCGTAATCGTCGCATAACTAGGTCTGGTTCCAATCAACCTCCAAGCCATTCAGTCCATATGTTGTTGAAACAGATCAGCTCGTTCTGAGTAGCTTGGGGAATACAGTTTCGAAGCCTTTATAGCATTCAATTGCCACACAATGGTCTTATCAAGTTTAGCGTCTCAATTGTGGGTATTGACAGAGTTTCGTAAAACGTTTATTTACCATCCAACATTCAAACAGGACGTGGATGAGAAGCCAGACCTTCAGCACAAATTTCATTTGATTTTAACCACAGAATATTATTCAAACCCAAAACTATGGAACGAAGATTACCCAAAACCCTGCTGAATATGTCCATGGATGTAGCTTAGGTTCAGAGTGGATGCCATCAAGTGAGTCGGGAAAATCAAAACAGACAATGTACATAGCATTCAGAGGTCATATAATTTGTATATGATTGTTTAATCTGGTCTGAGGAGAGTGGAGAGCTCAATGCGGACTGGCCATTTAACATAGGGGTTACATACAATACCAATTCTACCAGCTGCGCAATAGCAACAAAGTGGACGTAACAAAAGCAACCCTTCAATCTGCAGGCTACTTAAACGATTCACCTTCATCTTTAATCTCAACTCTAGCTTCCCATGGAAAATAGCACTGGGTCTCATATATTGTTACTCAATCACTCTAATCCAGGTTACAACTAAGGAGCAAGCCATACAATGAATCTTCTGTTTCCGAACATGGGTACAGCGGGAAATAAATATCAGTGCGAATAGAAAATGTTTGTCTTTAAGTTGCTGAAACATTTTCAAACTGATCCGTTAGGAATGAAGTAGTGAATTTTTCGGCACCAGGAACAAGATGTCCACCAAAACAATGCAATCCTAAAAAGTTGCCTTACAAGGCATTAGTGAAGCTCTACTCTGAATGAGGTTCGGCTATCCATAAATTACCTGTGGGCCACAAACCACAGAGACGTAAAAGCTGTATTTTTGCAGTGACTTTTTTATTTAAAATTTGGTTATTTTCTGAGGCTTCACAGGTTTTGCGGATGGGATATCAATCACAGCCTCTCACAACTGTATGACCAAAGAAGCACTGAACATTTCGTTCCCCTTCTATTTTCGAAGGATTTAACATTTCACTGAAGTGTTGTAGATAAAAGTACTCAGGCTACTGAGGTGTCCGTAAGAAAGGGCTTTTCTAATGAATGTTCTACCAAGGAACTTTGGGTCTAATTAGGGGTACATCTTACTTTTTGCTACAGCAAACAGCGAAGTGAAGAGAGTCTCTTTGTCGTGGATACTCTTTTTACCTCCAAGGATTTAGGGGAAGAATTTAGAGACAGAGCAACAACGGGCATTTTTTTCAGTTTCACAACAATCTTTCAGAGCGCGGTTGTATCCAGTTTATGCACTCTTCGGGTAGCAATCAGTTAGGTTGGTAAAAAGAACTTTCCAACAAAGTTATTTTGGCTTTTCTGTTTACTTCACTGCTTCGGATGGGAACTTTGAGGTCATACACCACATTGGCCACTGCGCGATTAAAGATATACTACTTGAGGAAATATAGTAGCACACAATATGTGCGATCTAAACATAGATGGGCACCGAGTAAGTCAACTGCCAAGGCAAGCCAGTGTTGGCCCAAATGCCAACTATCACTGATGGTGGTGTCGATGGGGGTGACTGTACGGAAGCCAGACTGATGTTTCTTCACCAATTTATTTCGGAGGAAAAGATGTCATGGTTCGGCGCAGTTTTCCCTCGATGTTCTGATTAGAATCGCTTGTCCTTTTGTCAACGGTTTCAGGCGGAACTCATCACAACGTTTCTCACAAGTGTTATGCAGCACACCAAGGTGTCCCAGCTTATTACTGTAGGTCAGCAGAACCGCACCTGAACTCGCATTCTTAACATGGTTGATAAACAATGGTACACTTTTTACTCCAGTCAAAGTTTAACTGTTTACCCACGTGAATTTGAAATGAGCGAATGCAACCTCTAGTCACTTAGACTAGAAAGTCGGACGTGTAAACTCACCATCATCGGTCCTCTGTAACTTCTGGTGGACTCAAATTCAACGAATTGCACTGTACTGCGAGAGGTACATCCGATGAGATTACCTGTCATGACGTAAAGAAGGGATAGTACTTAAATGGCGCCAACTGTCAACGACCTCATAAAACTGGTGGATTTTTGAGTTGAAAGCTGCATTTCAAAAACTTACAGAATAATCATCGGTATCTGGACTGCACTTGAAATCTGTGTTGGGTATTTTTGTAAACCTATGTGTCTTCACCTACACCTTGTTGAATTTCGGTCACACGTCAGAGACCATCATAATTGCGTCATCCTCATACATAAGGGACGCAGATGAAAGCAGTATGTTGGATAACCGTCAGCACTTAGGCCATAATATGCTGATAAGTTACGAAATCTATCAATAACTCCCAGCAATGCCTGTTTATCATAAAGAGCAACGATCAAATTGGTCGAGCTCCCAAGGCGTAAACAGTACAGAAACGCGACTTCTAATGGTACGAGAAAGCTATTTGCACAATGATTTGTATAACATGATCATTGAGGTGGATGGTTAATAGTTCTTCACAAGGAACTGTCCGCAACAAATATGGCGAAGTTGACCGTCGCATAAAATAAAATTTGCGCATTTTCTGTACGACTCTTCTCAAGCAGTATCAACCAGCCAGCTTCAGCATGTAAACCTTGATACCTGGGTTTTCATTATTTCCTTTCCCTTTTAAACTTGTCTATTCCTACCGGAACTACTATCCGTGAATTACTCTCCTTTCCATACCCAGACTTTTATGCTCTCTCCATTGCCCTTGACATGCTACATTCCTTGGTCTTACCAATATTGTAAACTGCCCTTTCGAGGCTCAACGCCCAGATGGGTCGTATTTGTAGATAACATCATGTGTTTAGTGACAGCGATTTTTCAGTAGATTTATACGTGTTGTCTGATATAATAAAGGAAATCAGGTTTGCATTCACCGCTCTTTGTTAGTGTCTCAAACAGCACTGTTGCTTCAGAGGCAAATCATTCCACTCTCTGGAACTCGCTTGTCTGTCTGTCGACCGTCGGGTTAGGAAAAACAAACAAACGTTCTGTAGTCCCTGGTCTCTCTCCCGTCCTGATCCTCTCTTCTAAGTACACCGACGATATTGTGACTGTTTAAAATCTTGAAGCAAGGTCGAACATACAAGCAAATTTGGACGAACTAGTGATATCATTTCTGCAGGTCTGTCTGTCTTGCAATGTACTACAACAATATGTTGCTCTCAATTATTAGAAGCAGGCCTTTGACCTCTCATCCCCCACTATCAGTGACGTTCGTCATCCAAAGTATATGGGGGCGATCTTTTCTAGAAACCTCGACTGCTCCTTTCATGTTAAGTGGTGTTTATAGAATTACGACAACTACGCTTTTCCACATTCATATTGGGCCGCTATTTAGGCCATAAAACCTCAGCTGCATATGTCCTCTCATACTGGAAGTGCCGTTCGTCTGTCATATTGTCCTGAATGTTTGAGAATGTCTTCTGTTTGTTTTCTGTTCAATTAGCATAAAAATACAGGCTAAAAATTCGCTTTCAGGCTTATTTCGATATTCAGTCCTTTTT